CAGGTAGCACATCTGGAATCTTGGACATTGTCCAGAGAAGTAGGAAGTGTCATGGATTGCACCCCTATCTGCAGTAATCTATTAGGCAAACTCTCCAGGTGACAGCATTATAATTGTAAGGTACCCTGGGTCTCCTCTATTGAGCAGCATAAAAATGTAATCATAAATAAAAATAAATTTGTGAAATCGTTGATCTGCTGTGATATTGATAATCCCATCAAAGAAATATAGGTTCAGTATAAATCAAGCAAACTCTTCCACCAGAAAAAAACTCAAGTCTAAGTGACTGGAGGAGCTGATTTGAAGTATTTTTTATGGTTATTCGTGTTTACCAGTGGGAATACTGATCCCATAGAACAGACATGTCAAATACAAGGCCCAGGGGCCAGATGCGGCCCGCAAAGTGGTTTCATGTGGCCCGCGAAGCCATCCTGGAAACAGTGAGGGAATGGCCCCCACTGTCTTGGCCCTGTCCCAGGCCAGCCAGGAGCCAATGTACAATTTTGTGGTGGCCATCTATGCTGAAATGTATTCAGTCTTAGCTCCACAAGGCTGTCTGGAAATGGCTTGGTGTCACAGGTGCTCAAGGGCTGGGCTGGGCGTTTAACCTCTGCTGCCCAGGGCTCCGGGCAGCCCGCGCCACCATCCAGCCCCCCCCCGCATGGCCTGAGAGGAACAGTGAGGTTCCTCCAGTGGACCATGCCTTGGCACATGCCCTGGTCCCACCCCCTTCTGCCAGAGACCCTCAGATCTGTCCCACTCTTGCCCAGGACCCCCACAGGCACCCTTGATGTGAACGATGTAGAGCTGGCCATGCCCACCCAGTAGGCTGCACTCACCCTGGCCACACCCACCCGGCCCCCTGAGGGCAACCACAATGCTCATGCGGCCCTCAATGAAATTGAGTTTGACACCCCTGCCATAGAAAATATGCTTTCATGAGATCAATATTCCCATGTCAAACCTCCCCTTCCTGAAAAAAAAGAAAAAAAAAATAGGCTGCATAAATGAAAAGTCTGGACTCTCACCGCCACAATTAAGTAGCTATGATTGGACAGGAGTGGGCATCTTACAATCACTAAAGCGGAGTGAATTTCTGACTACATCATTCGAACCCTCCTTGAGATGTGAATTTTATATCAGGGACTTTTGAATTGGGATAAGAGGAAAACATCCACTTTCATACTGGAACTTCTTGAACAAATGTCAGTGCCTTAGCAATGAAATAGACACATTTTCTAAGAATATGTTAGCAAGGTCTCTTCTTACCTCAATAAATAGTATACGAGGGTGAGCCTATATTGTTACTTTAACAATATTAACTTGTGCTATATGTTTTATCCTACATGATCCTCTATCTCATAATTAAGCTCATAATTAAGGAGGATTTGATTTCATTTTCACTGTGTGGTAGTCTAGCTTGTGGTTACTTCAGGAGAATATTCTGGATTCTTGGTTGCTCTTCCATCCTCCCCAACCAGCAGGGCCATGTCTATGGAGATTCTCAGTCATCCAGGTCATGGTTGTCCCAAAGTACTTTTTTCACGAGGCAACTGGACTTTCTTGTTTTTCTTTGAAGATGTTTCACTTCTCATCCAAGAAGCAAAACCACTCTTAGGCCACTCTTTCAAAGACCTCTGGTTTGAAAGATGGGTCAAAGAGGCCATTTATGTCAAAATTGAACAGCCCTCTTTCAACGGGGGGGGGGAGGGATACGACATCATCTATCTCCAGTCTACAACACAGTCCTTTCAACAGTTCCAAGAAGGCTCCACACCCATTTACAATACTCAGGTAACCCTGACAACACAGATAAGTCTCCAGGTGGCATCAACTCTCTAAAAGAATACAAATGATCAGCTGTCTGCAAGAAGTATAAATCTTTCCATTCCTCACCATCCAGTCAGAACTGAAGAAGCTCCTTGGATGAAAAGTGAAACGTCTTCAAAGAAAAACAAGAAAGTCCAGTTGCGTCATGAAAAAGCATCTTTGGGATCACTTTAAGAATCTTCTGTATTAGAATATGAATCCTATTCCAATATTTCTTTGCTTTATTACATGTCCACCATAAATGATAAAAGGTGCCTTCTTTACATCTGCATTTCCAGCATTCATTTAAAATACCTTTATACATTTTTGATAACTTATCTGGTGTTAAATACCAATGATACACCATCTTATAAAATAGTTCTTTTAAATTGTAATTTAATGTAAATTTTAAACCTTCCATCCACATATTCTCCCATTGTTCAAGCTTTACATTATATCTAAAGTTCCTTGCCCACTAACTCATACAATGCTTTACATATTCACTTTCCAAATTCAAATTCAATAACGTTTTATAGACCTTAGCAATGATATGTTCATCACTACCACACGGTAGGATTTCCAATTCATTTTTAACAGAGTCAAACCCATAGCTCTGTTTGTCTAATTTAAATCTTTCTTTCAGTTGTAAATATGTAAACCAGCAGCAGGACCATGGTTTCTTTTGTATACTTCACTAAAGCAATATTTATCTTCAGGGTTCTTTGCAGAACAATACTAAAATGATTTCAGAGCCTCCTTCCCTTCCATCCTTTTTTAAAAAAAAAATGGCTTTGATTGTCTAAATGCTTATGAAAACGTTTCACCCTTAGTTCCTTGAGTGCTAAATGTTAGTGACAATCTTGTGCCCTCGGCTATCTCCCCTTATCCCTTGCATACATTTTCCATGTTTATCTGCAGAGAAATCTTTTAGAGAGTGAATATTTCTCCTGTTGGGTAAATCTCTTGTTCTCTCCTTTTTGTTCTCCTATCAGTTTAGGTTTTATTTATTTTTTCAAAAATGCTATATATATCAGGAGTGTAGCAAAGGTCTCTCCTCAGTGGGTGCATAAAATCATTCCAGATATGAGGTTGATATATGTGTGATTTGTTCTGATTGGAGCTAATGTAAGTACCCCCCCCCCCATGTCACTTTCTTTTACTTGAATTTCTTGTAGTCTGGATTCCCTGCCTTGAGTTTCAACAGAGAAAGGGTGAGGTTAGATTCAAGTTTAGCTTTCTCTGGGATTTAGCTTCCACTTGTGTCTTCAGGGGCATGCCTCTTCTGTCTTTGAGATGAGGGATGTATCTAGACTGCCACATCTCACAATTAATCATGTGAAACGTGTGACTACAGCAAAAAAAAAGTATGCAGCTACAGTGTAAAATCTTGTTTTTGAAATGGGAGCCTTCTGTGAAATCAGGAGCTGCATATCAAGCATCATACCGACATCCTTCTGATTATGAGTGACAGCCCTCTGACAGCACAGGGAGAAGAGAAAAGGAAGTTGGGGAAAAAAGGGAAGCTGGGAATTCTAGGCTCTCTTGGGTCATCAAGAGCACAACTATCACAGCAAACCATGACAGCTGTACTTGCAACATATAAGTGAATGACTTTACATCCACCAGAGTCTTATGTTAGAGTATTTTAACTCAGTCTTTCCCAGAATTATATCCTGTGGATTCATTGGACTCCATGTATGTCTAGCTGGATGAGGAATGTTTGGAATTGACTCCCAACCTATTGGGAAGACAGCAGAGTAAAGAATTCTCTCTCTCTATATATGTATAAGTGGCATTGTTCTAAGTGTGTGAAGGGGTTACTTGGGAACTTAGGAGTAAGTTTGGTCCCTCCAATTTACATGAGTCCATTCTGGTATTCAATGCATAGTTTGGATTTTAATGTTGCTTCTGCCAACAAACATATTTTGAGTTTGTTCCTGGAGAAGCAACAAGTCATGAATTAAAAAGGCACTTCTCTGTTATAGATATATGCAAGTCCTGCTTACTGTCTGACTATCATGTCAAGGTAAAATTCTCCATATCCATCTAATCCAGTGATGGTGAACCTTTTAGAGACTGAGTGCCCAAAAACTGGCCCCATCCCGCCCCGCCCCCACCCCGCCCCCACCCCACCTGCCCGCAGGACCACTCACTGCCTCCAGGGCCCGCTGCAGATCACCCAGCAGCGCCATGGCAGCCACGCCCTCTGCCCACGCCCCACAGCATCAACTGTGCGTGATGGGGCATGAGGGCAGAGTCTTGTCTACACTGCCTGGCTGCCATGTCCTTGATTGCACTGCTCCGCATGGGCCACGCTTGGGGGCAACCCTTCTCCAGGAGGGCTGCTGGTGAGGAGGGTGTCATGGGTGGAGGCAAGGCTGGGGCAACAGCACGTGTGCCCACAGAGAGGACTCCGAGTGCCACCTCTGGCACCCATGCCATAGGTTCGCCACCACTGATTTAATCTATCTATCTATCTATCTATCTATCTATCTATCTATCTATCTATCTATCTATCTATCTATCTATCTATGCTCTGTATCCATTTATTGTACAATCTATCTATATCTATCTGTCTGATTGTCTATCTGTCTCAGTTTAGGTTCACACTGGAAGGAACAATCTCTATTGATTCTTGTCACTAACAATGTTTTTGAGTTGTTTTTAATGTTGTTATTGCCAGTATTCAGAAGTAAGAAGAGGTGCATATGGAACTAAGCACTGTTAATTATGCACAAGAGGAAGACAGATATGGAAACACCCAGACACCCAATACAATTTGGTGGTGTATAAAGAAAATCCCAAATTCCCAAATGACAATTTATTATACTGGTCCTTCAACACAGATGACAGCAAGGGGTTATGAGGGAGAATGGAAAAAAGGGGGAGAGGTAATGAAACAGAGTATGTGGGGAGGGCATGTCAAACTGCTTGGAACAACAAATTGCAACATTTTTGTATTCCTTCCACATTACAGATCTCATTGTTGTTCATGATGATGTAAAGTTATAAAAGATGTGATGGCAAATATTTTTTTTATCTCAGACATTGCATATAAATTTTAGTTCGTGTTCCTTGGGTTAAACTTTCAATAGGAAGAACGTAGAGCTTGCGGTAAGAGTGCATAAACAAATGATTTCTCCTAATCAATCCTGTTGTCCTGAGTTGACTGGATTCCTCTCATCTTATAGAGCCTTACAGCCCAGCTGTGTGGGTGATGATGTTTGTGATGTGTCTCACAGTTGTTGCTATCACAGTCTTCATATTTGAATATTTCAGTCCTGTTGGCTACAACCAGAATTTAACCAGTGGCAAAAGTAAGTTTCCAAATGGCTCAGTGAGTAAGTTGCATTACTTGGGTAGTGGGGGAGGTAAGACACAAAGCTGGATTATTCTTTTATTAAGCATTTTCCTACCAATAAAATAGACCAAAGAAGTCCAGAAGTTCTTGCCTATTGGCCTTTTTCAATCACCTCAAGAAGAATGACAGCCCAGACTGAACAGAAAGATTTGAAGTAAGCAAGGAATGGAAAAAATATAGAGCATGCTGTCTTATGGTAATCAATTAAACCACATGCATAAGAGAAGAGCTCTGCAACTGCAAAAGATATCAGCTTATAAATACTTTCTGTATTTTGCATGGAACCCATTGCAGTCTCTGCCAACGAAGAGTCATACATATCTGCTCCTCCCAGGGCCCCCTTTGGTCTGATTCCCAGGATAAGAACTCTTTGGCTGCTTACATACAGGGAGGTGCAGCACTTCAGAGCAAGTGTGGACTTACTATTGGACATCTATTTCACTGAGATTGTGCAACTGCCATGTAAGCCTAGGCAAAGGCACCATGTTTTGAAGGAGGCACCAGCAAATGTAGCATATCTGGCAATACTTATTTTGAAGTGCTGCACACGCCTGGTTAATAGGATCATTTTTCACCCAGTGGCAAAGCAGCAACAAAGCAGTATATGACATTAATGTATTTGTAATTGTTCCCCGATTTGTACATCATAAGTGCAAACTTGGCAATTACCATTGATCTCTAATACTTCGATACTTGAAGGACTACCACAAGGAAGATGGGCCAATTTATTTACCAAAGCACCTGTAGGCAGGGCAAGAAACAATGGATGGGAACTAACCAAGGAGAGAAGCCACCTAGAACTAAGGAGAACATTCCTAACAGTGAGAACAACTAACCAGTGGAACAAATTGCCTTCAGAAATTGTGGGTGCCCCAACACTGGAGGCTTTTAAGAAGAGACTGGACAATCATCTATCAGAAACAGTACAGTCTCCTCCAAGAGCAGGGGGTTGGACTAGATGACCTCCAAGGCCCTTTCCGACTCTGTTACTGTTATCTCACACACACATGGGTAACAGATAAGGAAACGGGAACTTACACATTAGATTAAAAGTCTAGCAAATCTTGGGTGAGAATCTAAAGGTTGTTTAAAAGCTTAAAGTTATTTTTATACCTCATTAAACACTGAGCATACTAGATTTCAAGAGACCAAATCTGTTACGATTGAGTGGATTATTTTTTTAATGAAAAGAGCCATCTAAGAGTCTTTGGGGCAAGCTATACAGACCAATGAAATGCAAAGAGGAACAATGTTCAAACGGATGTATAGAACTGGAAATGTCAGAGAATGGCTTTTCTCACTGCTGTATGATCAGCTACACCATCTCTCTACAATAATTAAAAAATTCCTCTTTGAATCTTGTAGGTAGACCTATAAACATCATACCCTTGAGACTGTTTTGATTTAATCCACAGTGAAAAACAAATCACATGGTAGCTTGTATTTTATTTTTTTGTCATTTTGACCCAGGCTGCTGCTAAGCATTGTGTGAAAAATCTCTCCATTCTAGGCCTGGTCAGTTCTTTGACAATATCTTTGCCCCTGAACTGTCATCAGCAAGCTAGATTAGCCTGATCTGCAAAGGTGCCTCTAGGCTTCTTGAGCAGGGTTCTTCAACTAATGGGTCCCACTTCTTAAGAGTTTTGGAGAGCTTTCTCACTGCTGCTTTTAGATGCAAGCTGCTGTTGACCTCTATCCTTGATAAAACTTATACATCCTGACAGGTGGATAATGAAAAGGGTATGAGTGGAATGAATTCCTTCCGACTGCCCATTGCCACTTTTGTTCAGTCATCTCACCTTCCAGAGAATTCTCTGAATTTCTCACCTTGGAAAATTTGCTGTCATTCAAAGATCATAGTTAAGGATGCTAGAATGAGATGGCAAACTAATTAGAAGGAGATAAGAGCCCAGAGTGAAAATAAGCAATCTTTTTTTAGCTTCCATCATGTTCTTTGGCAGGGTGAGGGACACCTGGATGCTCCTGATTGCTTTATTGGGGAAAAAAAACTCTCTCTCTCTCTCTCTGTCTCTCTCTCTCTCTCTCCCTTTCTCTCTCTCACACACCGAGTATTTTACATTTTCAGATTGTTGTTTTGTTTGTTGCATTCTTAATTTAAAGCAAAAAATAGAAGAAAAAATGATATATTCGGAACTTGAGCCCCACTTTGTTTTCCTCCTTAGAAATTGAAGGAATCTCCATACCAAAATCTCCCATAGTGATTTTTCAAGACTGCCTTCCTTCCTGCAGTTGCATTTAGCTGTGTGTGCAGAGAGGGATATCACTTTCTATATTACTCGGGGTTGCATGTATGCCAGCATCATCTCTTTTCCTCTTTCTCCTCTGACTCTCAGTTCTCCTTTGCTAACAGTGTTTGCTGTCCAGAGACTACTCCAGGCAGCTGATTATGGTGGTCCTGTTCCTTCACCCTCTCAGGGGACTCCAATGCATAGGGGCACTGGTAGGGTGTGTAACACCAGTGTAAGGGCCTGGCTCAATGCTGATCAAAGGGAAATGGCAAAAAAACGTAGCCATTAACTTTTAAAAATTTAATATATGTATGTTTAATGGCATACACAGTACCATTAAAGCTAGGCTTAGAGGATTTCTATGGTTCATGTATTCAAGGACTCAGTGGCTGATCTCTTGGAATACTTAATAAACCCTTAGGCTTAGTTATTCCAAAGAATTTTGCAAAAATATTCCATTATTATTGTTTGATCAGAGCCACATGTATTTTCACGGTTGTAGACAAAGTTACCTACACTTAAATACATTGGAGAAACTTCTAACCACAGTTTCCCCTTCTTAGGGCAGCATGACAACCAAACATATGAAAGCAAAATCAATCCAATCTGTTTTTACTAAACAGCAAGCAAGCAAGCAAGCGACACTGAGTCAAACAACACGCAGAGATCTTATAGAGAGGATTTCGTCTCTCAAAAGTTCAAGGAGATTATCAAAATGAAGATTCCAGTTAAAGGGCCAACTGGAATTCTGATCAGATGTAGAGCTAGAAAAGTTAGGGGGGAGGTAATTAGAGAGAGGGTAGGCACATGTATCTGGTGCACAGCCACAATCTTTGGTCCTCTCCACACCCCTGTTCTTTTTATCCTCTTGTGTCCCGGCAGCAAATCTCACCTTTTCTGATTTAGCCTTTCCTGACTGACTCTGTGCCTTCCTTCATTTTCCCCTCTAGAATAGTCAGCTTGTAACCCGCAAGACTGATAAGTATATTTAACCATCCCAAGTAGCTAGGATTTTTTTTTCCATATCACAGCTAAATTGATCCTCCTGACTCTGATGTTCAGTTCCTGGTCCCTAGTTTGTCTTTCTTTTGCAGCCTCTAAATATCTCTAGCTATTTCCCATCAACTAGCAAAGATAAACCACAACATTTAGCTTTAGTTCTAAAGAGGCATAGTTTTATCTCCAAAAAATGTCCCTTTAAGTGTTAACGTGATTAAAACAGTACAGTACAGCAATTCAAATTGCAAAGTACACCACTAAAAATGCTCATTTTTAAAAAATGTTGTATCAATGAATGAAAAGTCTTCAGTATTGCAGCCCTCAGGTGGCACTCATAATACTGAGGATGAGAACCATCCCTTACAATTTTATTTTATTGCTAACAGATCTGTTTCTTATTTCAAGAAAGCTTGTAAGTCATTCGTTATTTATGTTCCTCCTTCTAGAGTCTGGTGGGCCATCCTTCACTATTGGCAAGTCGATCTGGCTACTGTGGGCTCTGGTTTTCAACAATTCGGTTCCCATTGAAAATCCCAAAGGCACTACCAGTAAAATTATGGTCCTCATCTGGGCCTTCTTTGCTGTCATCTTCTTAGCCAGCTACACTGCAAACTTGGCAGCATTCATGATCCAGGAACAATATATTGATACCGTCTCCGGGCTGAGTGATAAGAAGGTAAGCAGTAGCGATGATTTATTAATATGATATGAAGGTGGCAACCAACATTAATGACCTTGGTGTAAGTCACCAGAAAGGTCAATGGTAGCAAGTTGATGCCTTCCATTTATCCCAAAATCCCTTGTTATCGGTCGTGCTCCTTGGAGGTGTAACTTCAAAGAATGGTTTTGAAGTTTATTGTTTAGGACATGGTTTAGGATGCTGATGATAATCAGTGAAGGTTTGTGAAGTTGGATTTGATTTGTCTCCAGAGTCATTTTGATTAAACATCTAGGGCAATGTGAGGCACAACAGAGATAGCTGCTCTGCTATCACAGAGGCTCATGCAACCATGGGGCTGGTTAGCAGCCCTGAAGACCCGTCCCCTTCTTTTAATTAACATTGGATTTTAATCATCTTTGACTCTTTTTAAATGTTATTTAAATTGAAACATGCACCAATAGTACAAAGAGCACACTGGCTCCAAGTAGATTTCCAGATGCAATTCAGGGTACTTGTTATCACCATTAAAGCCCTGCATGGCATAGAGGCAAGTTACTTTTGGAATAGCCTGTCTCCAGCAGTTTCAACCAGGTCCATTAGGATGGGCTTGTTCTGGATACCTATAGGAGAAGGGCTGACAGAGTCAGATGAAGAGGTGAAAAAAGGAATCAGCCTAGAATCATTATATAGCCACAAAGTCCACCCCCCCTTGACTGTCATTGATCCTTATCTAACTCTAAGCAGATGCTGACCATTCGTTGAGAAGATTCATGTGCATAGGCTTTTAGCAATAAATCAGTTAAATTGAACATTCAGGTGTGGACATGGTCTTTCGCACCTGACAATACCCTCTCTGAACCAACTTCATCTTATGGGACCCAGGAGACATGTTTCTCTACTTCAGACCCTGCCCCCTGGGACAGCTTTAGTCCTGAGTCCTACAGATGACCAGATTCTGCTCTGAAAGGACAGGATAACCTGGCTTCCTCAGGTTTTAGGGCCAAGATACTAAAGCCCAATATATATGACAGTGTGCGAATTGCTGATAATGTGTGAATTCCCTCGGTTATATTATGTTTATCTTATTTTATTATTATTTAATATTTTATTATTGCATTCTATATAGTTTTATATCGGTTTTTATGAACACAGTTTTAATGCATTACAGATAAATCACTCAGATTGATTTCTTTCAGATCGATGGCCATATAAATTTTCCAAATAACATCACATAAATAAAATAAAAAAAAGTCAAAATGCAAGACACATGGAGACTACTCAGTTGACTTTCATAGGCATGATAATTGTCAGAACCTGACAATTACTAGCTTTTTTTTTATCATAGGAAACTAGTCTTTGGAGAACAGCTATGAAAACTCATTTTTGGATAACAGCAAAAGTTACTAAAAATAATGGTCCCTGTATCTATAGTACAATAAGCAATTTTCTGGGAAACCATTTGTGCTCCTATATTTGACTTTGATGTGACTGAAGATAGCAGTCTTACTTCATTTCCTTGAATATATCATGACTCTCTGTAAAAAGGTAAATGGAACATTGTGGCAATCTAAGTTATCAGCTACACTAAAATAAATGTGTACATAACCTCCTTTTTCAACCCGAGTTTATGTAAAATGGAAGGTACAGAAGCATGCACACCACTCTTTCTGGGCTAGATTCAGTGCTGAAGAAAATAAACCAACTATTTTCTTTTGGTCTTCCTTTCCAGTTCCAAAAACCTCAAGAGCAGTATCCTCCATTCCGATTTGGAACAGTTCCCAATGGTAGTACAGAAAGAAATATCCGGAGCAATTACCATGACATGCATTCCCACATGGTAAAATACAACCAGCGCTCAGTGGAAGACGCCCTTGTCAGCCTCAAAATGGGGTAGCTTTCTGTTTCTTCACCCTCAAGATTTCTCTGTCCAATGACATTCCTAACCAGATCTGATTAGGACAAGATTACTAATCCTTTTGAAGTAGCACCAACATTGATTTCTAGGACTTAGTCCTGTCAAGTTGTAGTAATTACTTTGTTTCGGTGAGGAAAATTTACATAGGCACTCCAATTTGAGGGGGCTGTATCTACAATTACTTTCAAATAGTAGGCACATTTGGAAGGGGCAGCCTATGGTAGCCTCCTCATGTGCTAAGAAAGTTCTTGATGCCCAAACTTTCTCTATATATCTAGTGTTTGTGGCATTAAATGCAATGGAACTTCTACCAGTCTTCAGCCCACAGATTGCATTTTTGCATGCTGTCATATGACAACCTTGCTCCCTTCCCCATCTGAAAATATGCACCTATAAAGAGGCAATTGGATGTCTCCAATAGAAGAGAATATATATAGTTTAAGATTGTACTCTCAAGTCCTTGGTGCTCTCTGAGCTTGGTTGTTTGCTTGCAGACATTTCATTACTTGCTAGGAAACATAATCAGTGCTAGTGAGTGTGGGGTTTGCTCCCTATTTATATACAAGAGCTTATCTATCAGTATTGGTGAGGATGTGCTGTTCTCCTTGGTAGTTCCTTGATTAGGGTTTTGGTAATGCCTTGAATAGGATTAAATAATAATTTACAAAGCAAGAATTAATTTACAATTAAGTCTGGTAGGAAGCCCGACAGATAGCATATTTGATGAAAATGCTAATAGGATGAAAGATGTCTTGATCAGGTTCATGTACTCACCTGGCCTATGGGTCACTCTTTCTAGGTGAAGAATGACCCTGTAGTTCTATAGTCTAGCTGAAGTGGCAGAAAGTGCACCCTTAATACAGGCGTTCTCTGATAAGTTCAAACCCAGCAGTACCTGATCTACAGCAGGATTGTGCATGCTTTGAAAATGATTTGGAACAAGGGCTTTGGACCTCACCTGAAGACAGGTGTTCGTTAACGCACTCTGACTTTTCCCCTGGCTTTCAAGCAAGTCTGAAGGAGCATTGAGGTTGCCTCGAAATGTTGACTTGTCTGAGAAGCCTGAAAACAGATTAGACTCCCTTAAATAACAGAGACATGCCAATACTGGTCAAAGTACAAAGCACTTCTTCAGAGTCATTTTAAAAAACAGGCACATTCCTATTGTCTAATACAGCCTTTCCCAACTTGGATGGAGTCCCTAGTTTCCTTCCTGTTGTGTTTCATAGCAATTGTTCCCTAATCTGCTTTCTCTGTGTGCTTGATTCCAGAAAGCTGGATGCTTTTATCTATGATGCTGCAGTGCTCAATTACATGGCTGGCAAGGATGAGGGTTGCAAGCTGGTAACCATTGGCAGTGGGAAAGTCTTTGCCACCACTGGCTATGGCATTGCCCTCCAGAAGGACTCAAAGTGGAAGAGAACAATTGATTTAGCTCTCCTGCAGTTCCTGGGAGATGGTGGGTCGTTTTCTCTCTTAGTTACACATTGCTAGCTAATATTTAGGAGAAAATTATTGCTGCGTCCTACTTGTTTTCTTCCAGGGTCACAACAATTTGCCAAGTTCAGAGTAGAGCTTTCTCTTTATTATAATATAGAGGGGTAAAACAAAAACACAACAACAAAGATAAGAACCAAAGGAAAAAGAAAACAAGATATTATATTACATATACTGTAGGGAGCATGCAGTCCATTTTTGAAACCTTGATCCCATGGAATAATACTGATGATTTTTTTTCCCCATTACACTAGCCTGTATCACAGGTCCAAGACTGTAACCTTGAAACTGCAAGGGGCCAAAATCTAAGAATAAACTTTTTTGTTACACCTCAAACTTGGTAAATCCATCGGTCTTCATATATGATAAATTCCATTTTTTTGTCTATAATGGAAAAATACTTGCAGAACTTTATTATTTATCTTTGTGGCATATAAAAGTATGGATATTGAACAAAAATGGAAGCTAGTGGAGACATGCCTGTAAGAGGATATGAATAAGTGTCCTCTCAGTCGTTCCATGCTATGATTTTTCCTTTTGCACACTTGCATTTCCCAACTCCTTTGACAGAAACAAAGCAGGATAAAGCAGCATCTGCAGCATAGGAAGAGGGCAAATACTTTCCTCAGAAGACAAATGGCTACACCCCACTCTTTCAGCGGTCATTTGCAAATGTTCTGTTCAGATACAAATTAAAATTGAAATATAAGATGGAAATAAAAGTAGCTCCAAAACTTCAGTAAAGTGAACTTCATTAAAATGGAAAGGATTTACTTCAGCTATTTTTTTCTATTACAGTAACACAATGGTTATGAAAGGCATCATTAATTCTTATTTGCAAACCTAATATATGGGCTAAATGTTGTCCTAGACACCAACGTGCATTTTGCCCGTTCTGTATTTTCCTCAAAATTCTGCTCCTGAATGTTGATGATGAATTCCTTAGTCACTGGAGAAAATGTTGAAAAGTTTTTGGAAAACTGTTCTTCTTGGTGAAGTTTCATATTAGATCAAGCCAAACTCCTGGCAGTTCCCTGAAAAGGTCTTTCTCTCGCTTCACTTCAGTAGGAGTTAAATTTTCCACTACTTCAGCAGCTTTAATAAGTGGCTGATATACTATAAGTAAGCAGGCAAGCCTGTGCTTATGCATTAGAACTGGGAAAGTTTAGGGGAAGTCTTTTATTTACCAGATGTAGAAGGAGACTAAAAGAAGAAGAAAGTAAAATAAATATGCCACCTACAGGAACTGCAATATGCTAAGAAACAATCTTGAGATCCGCACAGACAGAATGTGTCTTTCTCCAAAGAGCTATTATTTAGCTCATATTTACTGCCTAAAAAAATTAAGTATTCATTTTCACATCTGAATATGTAGTCCTTGACTTATAACAGCTCGTTTAGGGACCCTTTGAAGACCATTGAAGTACAGACAAAAGTGACTTATGATAAGATGACCAACTTTTTTACAATGAGAAGGAGGACACAAATAAATTGAAGAAAAAAAAGTGAGTCTAATGTGTGCGTATGTGCTGTGTCATGTTTCGGTAAGAAGTAAACAAAGCCACTTGCATGCGGCGCACTCTTGCGTGCGGTGCACTCTCTCAAAACAATTCTCCTTGCCCTGACGAATCATCATGTCAAATACAAATACGTCACATCACACGCAACGGATTGGATCAGCATCAATCGAATACGGAGATTTACAGATTAGTCTTCAAATATCAAAAAGGAGGACATGTAGGAGGACATCTGTCGAGAGAGGACAGAACTTACAAAAGGAGGACTGTCCTCCCTAAAGGAGGACAGTTGGTCACCTTTCTTATGACCATTTTTTCACACTTACGACTGTTGCAGCAATCCCATAGTCACGTGATCAAAATTTGGCTGCTTGGCACCTGGCTCGTATTTATGACAGCTGCAGTGCCCCGAGTCATGTGATCACCTTTTGCGACCTTCTGACAAGCAAAACCAAGGGGAAGACCAAGTTCCCTTAACAACCGGTTTCCTGACTTAATACCTGTGGCAAGAAAGGTTGTAAAACTGGGGCAAAATTCATTTAACAACTGCCTCACTTAGCAACAGAAATGTTGGGCTCATTTTTGTGGTCGTAAGTCGAGGACTATTTCTATGGAGCCCAAAGGCATCTTGATCATAACTCCTTGGAATTCGAATGGAAGTCCTATTGCAATTCCTGTTTCTAGGGTTCTAGGGTTCTCACTTGCCCGCTGTGCAAACACAGGGCTGAACCAGGCCTGCCTTTAGATCTAACCTCCCGGGGTTCTCTGACCTGGCAAGCATGAGCACTGGGCATATCCTAGCTATCAGCAGTGGCCTATTCAAAGAATAAATAAATAAATAAATCACTGACTCCTGCTTGCTTGGATGCCGTTCCTGTGAAAGAGACACCAAACTAATGTAAAGGGAAAGATAGATTTAACAAACACACAATGCATGCGCACACGTGACTCTTCTATATTCATTTATGTACTTCAGCATTTGCAGGTTTTAGAGACCTGTCTGGTGGAAACTACAGCTTTGTTAGCAGATTGAAGGATTCAATACGGAATGTGCTCCAGAAAAAGTCTGCCTTGGAAACTTATAGAGATTCCTTTTAGCTCATTCTAATTGTCTGTCAACTACATTTGGGACACAGAGCTTCATGTGTTTTGCTTTTAATCTTCTGATTTGAATGAGAAACTGGCAGTCAGGATAATGAGCTGGTCACTACCCACTCCTGCTGTTCCACTGATCTAAATGGCTGCACCCACCAGGTGCTTGGTGGTTGTGAACTCCATGGGAGTGAGAAGATGATAGCTACGCTCTTGTTCCGTTGATCACTTGCACCGCCTGGAAGTTAAAACACGAAATCATCATTGTGTTTTGCCTACATCATTAATCCAGCCACATAAATGCAGAAGTAGCAAAAACAAAAACAGGCAAATATGAGGCACTGTAGGAGAAGAAGCTACTACCACTTTTTTTTCACCTCAGATCTGGCTATGCTAAAATGGTCCCTTTGCGCAGACATTTTAAAACTAATAGCAAAAAGCCTTTTCAAAACAAGACTATACTTTTTTTCCCCTTCTCTTTTCTGTGAAATTCATCCAAACATCTTCCCCCCCCCCCAGAAATGTGAACAGTTGTTTCCATGAAAGGGGTGATGTTTGATATCAGATGGTTTCTTTGGCTAGAAGTATACCCTCTTCTACCCTTTGTCTGTTGTGTGCTGTTTTGCAGGTGAAACCCAAAAACTGGAGACTGTGTGGTTGTCTGGTATCTGCCAAAATGAAAAGAATGAAGTAATGAGCAGTAAGCTGGACATTGATAACATGGCGGGGGTCTTTTACATGCTGCTGGTGGCAATGGGGCTGAGCCTGCTTGTCTTTGCTTGGGAACACCTGGTGTTTTGGAAGTTGCGGCATGCCGTGCCCAAGTCCCACAGACTTGATTTCCTTCTAGCTATAAGCAGGGTAAGTAATGTTCCTGTACGGGCAGTTTATTTATTTAATCATTTGTTTTTATTGCGTTTGTGTGCTGCCCAAATGCCATCCCTTCTGAGGGCTCACAAATAAAAGCATAAATAATAATAATAAGGGTTTTATTAATGAATTAATGGTGCAAATGAAAGCCAACACCAACTAAAGAACTGGCAGTTGCGATGTCACATTTTTGCGCACAGATAGTCCTCGACCTACGACCACAGTTGAGCCCAAAATTTATGTTGCTAAGCGAGACAGTTGTTAAGTGAGTTTTGCCCCATGTTTTGCCCCTTTCTTGCCACAGTTGTTAAGTGAATCTGGCTTCTTCATTGGCTTTGCTTGTCAGAAGGTCGCCTAAGGGGATCACATGATCCCAGGACACTGCAAATCTCATAAATACATTCTAATTGCCAAGCATCCGAATTCTGATCATGTGATCATACAGATGCTGCAACAGTCATAAGCGTGAAACACGGACATAAATCACTTTTTGCCACTGTAACTTTGAACCGTCACGAAACGAATGGTTGCAAGTTGAGGACTACCTGTATGTAAAAATAAAGATTGGCAAAGATAACAAGAACCAGAGAGGGATGGAAAAACAAACAAAACCAGACTATTCAAGGAGGCTTCATTCAACCTCGCCAAAGGCCTGGGAAAAGCAGCTGACCTTAAAGCACGAGTAGAAGGGGGACTGTCCAGGTCTTAGGTGTGGATGAAAGTGCTGGCCTGGAAACCAGAGAGTTCTGGTCTTCTGTTAGGCATAAAGCCAGCTCAGTAACTTTGAGCCATTTACTCTCTCTCAATCTGACCCTTCTCACAGAGGGGTTGTTGTAGGAAAATGGGAGGCAGGAACATTATGCAAACGGCCTTGAGTTGCACAAATAAAAGTGGGATACAAATCTGATGATCGTACTAATCATAATCAAAATTCTTCTTCCATTCCCCAGGAAATACTCTGCATTTTTAGGGCTACTCTTTTGTATAAATGTTGATTAACAGGGACAATTTAAAATGTTAATTCATTCATTAGATTTCTGATCCGCCCACTCTTCAGTTTCTCTAACCGCAACAACTATTCTGAGGCTGAGTTCCACATACTAAGCGGTAATGTTTGGACTCAGTTGCTGTGATTTATAAAACATGGCTTATAGTTCAAGACTTTGAGTGGACTCCACCAACTGTGGTTCATCTGGCAGACCACAATTAAAACATGGCTTAGCATGAGGTGTAAAATCACCGAGAGATAGATTAAGCTGGATAAGAGCAATTCCTCCAGGGCATCCGTTCCCAGGTCCATAGCCTCATCACTTCACTGCATACTATTTTCTTGATTTTGGGGGTAAAGGTAAAGTTCTATGCTAAATTTGACTCTACATATTAACTATCTATGTTTTGGTGGGGGGTATTTTTCTTCTTTTCAACATTTATAATAATATAGTAATGGTTTTGCATTAGGTCCCAAAATGTATACTTATATAAATTATAATTTTGTATCCTGAAAACAACTCAGTGTAATCTGCTTGCTATTTTTTTTAACTAAGGTCATACTGAGCACTGATGTATAACTTCAGTAATTAGCTACCCATTTGTAAATGCTATCTTTTTTGAAAATATATTTTTTAAATGAAAATAAAATAAGTATGTGGATAAAAAAACAATTTAAAAATTGGCTCTACACACCAGGACATCTAGCAAAACATTAGCGGCATCATCAATGTGTTCAAATGCTCTAGGCTGTGAGTTGCCAAGACATTCCCTCAAAAAGCAATTTTGTGACTCTTGCCAATGGGAGCTTGTAAAGCTTACCAATATGAGCATATATGACACTCTGTTTTTCTCTTTAAAGGGAAATTAATTTTTACTTCCCGTATTTTGATTAAAACATTCTCAAATCATTGTGAGCAAGAGATAGGAGATTTGTTTTTTTCTAGATGCATAATTCCCCGTTCTTCTGATTTTTGGGTCTCTAGAGAAATCCACAAAAAAGAATGTGATATTGAATACACTAAGGGCTAAAAGTACAATTGATGAGATACATTTTCAATAGTCTGCCTGGATTGGAAATTGTGATTAAAGCACCCCCCCCCCAAAGATCCTTTGGAGCAGAACTGCCTAGGAATTCTGGGATAAATTTGTGGCAAGATGGGTGGCAAATAAATTTAATACAGTAAATAATAATTTAATGTTAATACATTTGTTTTTCTCTCAGTTCCTTTGTCAAATTTGCAGCTTTAGGTCTGTCTAGTCAAAGTGCTGCTATAAATCAATTAAACCCAGCTTCAGCTAACTGATGCATAAGAGGCAAGCTTATTTTGTTACTCAATCATTTGTTCCCCCCACATAAGGGCTGCTCTCTGTAGGTGTTTTAAATCTTATTAACCTTGTGACAGCTTAACTGCTTAGTAAGAGTTCTCAAGAAATTGTGTGAGTAATAGTAGTCTGATTCCACAGTCATTCTAGTATAGGGGTCCTCAAACTCGGCAGGCATGCTGGCTGAGGAATTCTGGGAGTTGAAGTCCATGAGTCATAAAAGGGCCGAGTTGGTAGGAAGATATTTTGGCTGTCTTCACTCACAACAACATGCGTTGAGGTGAAAAGCTGCAAATTATCTGTGAGTGTTTTAGGCAATACAGTGCTTATACAAACTAAAATGATTGCTAGTTCAGATAATGTAATAAAATCTGGAAGTTTACTATGAGAATTACTCCTGTGCATATAAGACTCAAGGATTTTCACTGTTTACAACTATCATATTTTTAAGTACAACTTTTTCCATCCAATATCTCAACTCTGGTTATTCTGGTTTTCAAACTTGCACCAAGCAGAGCAGTAGGGGATTCTGGTGTTTGGGCAAGTCCCAAAATATTAATTCTAAACTGCTTTTGGAGAGTTTTCAGTCTTACTAAGAATCCCCTCCTAACAAATATCCCTAGTATAGATTCATGAGGTGGGATCTGCTGTCAGAATTCCTAAAAACAAATTCAGAAAGATGCCATTAATATTAACTTGTGTGAAATGTATTTGAAAATAAACCAGTGAGAAAACAGTTTCCACAATTACTAAGAAAGAAAACAATCATGTTTATTGAATTTATTTGCTTGTTGAGTTCTATTACATTTATATTGTGTGTGCATTTTCAAGTCCCTTTGCCTTTTGCATTATAAATACCTTAGCTAAGCAATAAAAACACAATAAAAATACTTACGTTTCCACTCATGCATGAATAGAAGCCAGACAGAAAATAACAATTTATAGAATTTGAGTGAATTTTTGCCTATTAAAACATACATTTCCTGTTGTTGTGAAATGCTTTAATGCCTAAATTAAACTCATGTATCTGAGAAGCATTTTCTGAATTCTAGTTACATGAAATTTCTTAACCAGCCACTAGATTCATTGCATCTCATAACAATCATTATTAGGGTCCTCAAGGAATATTTTGCAAAATTTAATTAAGCAGCAAACACTTTAAAATACAGGATGAAGACAGTTATGAAGCTAACAACTAGAATACAAGATTCCATACTGAGACATAAAGGGAAGATGGCTTCATTATACTACAACATCTGCCTGAATGAGCAACTCATTGCAGAAGAGAGAACAGTTCTTTCCAATCACTATTTAGTGAGCTCTTGGATCTTCATTGTGGAATCAAGATCTTTCATATAAGACCAACAATTGAAAAGAAATTTTAAAAAAAGTTCTGTTCAATCTCCCCTAACTAATTTTAGTAGAAAATGCTTTCTCTGTATTCTTATTTCAATGATGAAGAATCTGGTTTATATGGTTTTAGCATTTAGTTTTGCTCAGATAAAGAAAATTATTCAATATTTATGAGTCCTGTCTGTGAAAAAAAAAGTCTAGCTTAGTATCATCATCGATCATTCCTTCCCAAGATAGTTTGTCATTCTTGTTTCATCTTGTATTCCCAGGGTATTTACAGCTGTTTTAATGGAGTCCAGAACCTGGAAAGCCCTGTTCATGTTTACAAACCAGATGTCACTGCTAACTCTGCTCAAGCCAATGTGCTTAAGATGCTGCAGGCAGCCAAGAATATGGTATCAACAGCCAGTGTTGAAAACTCACTGGAAAATGCTACACGCACTATAGAGAATTGGTCTAGTAGGAGTGAAAACTTCCAAACAACTTTCTCCTTAAGGACTCCCCAGTTTGTGATTCAGAACACTAGTGGGTCAAACAGGCCAGCTCAGTCCTCCAACACTACAACAACTGAGAAGCTTGGGAGGAGCTTTCCACCCTTGCTTCTGGCACCTCAGCAAACTGTGGGACCACCCAGTGAAAGCTGTGGAGAGACAATTGAGCACCCACAGATTCTTCATCCACTGAAATTACGGGGCAACTGCTCTGAAGATAAGATTATTCCAGCTCTTGCTGTGTACCACTCTCCACAGTATGTGGTAACCACTTCTCAGGCGAATCTCAGAAAACACATTGGAAGTTCCCTTAGTGATGCTCCTCATTCCCCAATCAGGACTCTTCAGGAACTTTCTCCACAAAACCACAAGTATAAGCTCCCCATGTCCAGAGGCCATGGGAAACAAAAATTCCACCAGAATGATCACCTGTATAAAGAAGGCGAGCAAAGCAGTGCAGCCCAGGAGTCAACGCTAGCTTTTCCTTCTGAGAAGAAAAAGACTTTGGAAACCCATTACTTGCCTCATCCCTGTATATATAATTCCTTCCCAAAGGACAACAGAACTTGTAGACCCTTTGCACATAAAGAATACGACCCACTAGAGCTGAGGAGAGAAAAAGAGACCTATACAGCTAGTCTTTCAAGATCAATCTTGGAACAGCATGAACAGTTCCATTCTCTAGGCCTCTGGAAGCATCCACCAAAGTGTTCCAGTTCCAGGGATATCCTGGACTTCTTCCCCAAAGCTAGCCTGACCCCCAAAGCAAAAGTGCTGCCTGGGATCCATCATGGAGTCCACCACCATTCTCCTGATGCCCTTAGGCCAAGCAATGCATGCAATAGGAAATGTAGGCAGGCCAATGGTTTAAGTTGGAAGGAGAAACAGCTGCTATATTCACAATCCACGAGGCTCCCAGTCTATCGAGAGGCCTGTCTACAGAATGTCTCAGGCGTACACAGGGCTTCTTCAGCTGTAGTGCAGAAGCAATATGCCTATGTGAACTCATATCCAAATCTACCTGTTTATTGGAGAAGTTTTCATCCAGGCCCTTCTCACCTATGTGAACAATCCAGTGCCTCCCAGCACTGTTTCAGTCAGGCATCCTGGCCCCCATGCAGCAGGGATTTCTTGGTCCATGCGGATGGTCAGAGGGCCATGTACTTTAATAGCACACAGAGAGACTGCAGAAATCAGAGCAGGGTTTATCCAACATTTATTCAGATGGCCAGCACCGAGAGGAGAAATACGTTGACAACCCCAAGGATGCACAGCCCTTGTGCAACAAGGTCATGGAGGCGCGTATCTAGCCTAGAATCTGAAGTCTGATCATGGAAAAAGGTGGGCGGTGAGTGGGATGGGAGTGGGAGAGGATGATGCTAAGAGTGCCTGCACATGATGAAACCACTTCTGTGGGGCACTCTAGAAATAGACTCGTATGGGCAACTGACAAACCATCTGAACTATCAATCTCCTTCTCCCTTGTATACTGGTATCAAGAAAAAGTCACGGTCTCTTCCGTACGCACAAGAGCAAGTGACCTTTCTCTTTTATCTCCTGCTGGAATTAAGATCAAAGCAACACTAAAACTGCCCAGCTGAAGGCACTTTAATGACTGCATCCCAAAGTCTTCCATTGCTGAGCACTGGAGTACTCATTTCATGCAAGAGGCTCCTGGTGGTGATTCACAACATGCAGCCTCTGTGTGGATTGCTTCAGACTGCATCGATTCCAGTGTCAAACATCTACATCACAGTGCCAGCTATTTTTCAGAGCATGCTGTCCATGACACAGCTGGAAATGGCCAACAGCAGCCTAATGAAAATTAGGACTATCTTGTTTACCCCTATGCACTGATAGAAATGGAACTATATAAATGATTAACGGGCAAATACTATATTTGTAGTGTTTTACATGAACCCTCTGATTCTCCATAAGAGTCTCAAATGCCACATCTTAAAATGTATTAACTTCCCCTTTCTTTTTTCCATATAGCTTTTGGTTGCATTGGCAAATGTTGTCTTTTACGCTATCCCTAAAACAGTAAAAAGGCTTTCTTGCCTTTTTTTTAAGAAGTACCGCATCGTATAAAAGATATTTAAAACTATAGCTGCTAGGCTGGGCCACATCAAATTTGAACTGCTGAGCAAATACAGGTGACAGAAAAGTATTAGTGAGAATATTATTCTCTCACTATGCAGATTAACATTCTGGATTCATTCATGCGTCTTTCTTAATCCCAGAGCATGACTAAAAATTCAAATTCTGGCAGAAATATTAGAAGAAGCAGCTGCATAGATTCCCGGCTTCAGAAGAGATATTCGTAGCAGCCTAGTGAAGGCTCCAGTGTTAAGGGATCACCAGAGAGGCATTCAGTAGCCCTGTTGACTGTTTTTAAAAACTATTTATGTTAACAGCAAATGCAGACTGGCTTATTGGTTTGCAAATAAAAGATCACTAACATACAAGGTTTTTTTTAAAATACATTTAGAGAATTTCAGAAGCATGCTGAAGCTTATAGCTGCAAATTAAAAGACAAAGTTTTGGGATTTTTTTAAAAAAACAAACAAACAAACAAAGGGAGCCAACAAGAACTCCAGAATTAATGGGATACTGATGATAGACACTTTAGCCTAGAGAAAAACAAGCAAACAAACAAATGAAAGCTATTTCACTCACATTGTCTGCAGACAGAATTGCCAGATGTGTATGAATTGCAATAAGGAATGTTATTTGTTGTTACTATCTTTTGTTTAGGGATGGGAAACATTGTATCCCTTAGATCAGCAGCCCCCAACCTTTTGGGCACCAGGGACTGGTTCTGTGCGGAGAGGTTTTTCTGCAGACCGGATGGAGGCGTGGTTTCATATGGGACTTCACTTGTTTGCTTGGCCCAGTTTCCGGCATGCTGTGGACAGGTGCTGATTCACAGACTAGGGTTTGGGGACCCCTACCTTAGATCCTTGTCCCTGTAGGTAAACTGTTCAAGTGGAGGGGGCCATAAGAAAAAAGGCTTGTCCCCAGGCTCCTACTTGCTGAAACTATGCAGGTGGAGGCACCCATTGCATGCATATTCTGCTGGTTATTATCAGATGGGCATATGCCACTCAGAGCAGACAGTCCTGCAAGATAGCCAGTCTGAAGCTAGATAGGGCTTTGCAGAAGATAATCAGCACCTTAAGTTGTCTCAACGGTGCTTTTTCAAAAGGCAATTAGACTTTGTTTTTCAAACAAAGGAAAAACAAAGTCCAGTTGCCTTTTGAAAAAGCACCTTTGGGACAACTATGACTTGGATGACTGAGAACCTCCATAGACATTTAGCATCTTAAATTGCACTTGGAAGCTGACTGGCTATCAACAGCACGTCTGCAATAATGGTGTTACATGGCTAAATCAGGCTTCACTTGTTACACTGTGCAGCTGGATTTTGAATCAGCCGTAGCTCCCAATTGGCTCTCAAGGACAGCCCCATGTAGAGCGAATTACATTAGTCTTGTTATGAAGTGACAAGAGTATGAATTACCTCAGTAAAACCTCTTTTTCCATGAAAGGCCACAACTAATGTACCAGCTGAAGCTATGGACTCTTCTGCCATGACTTCTACTGTTATTGCAGCAGGAGTCTTGAGTACAGGAGAACTCCAGGTAGCAAATTTGCTCTCCACAGGGGAGTACAGGTTTGCCTAAAATCGATTGGATTTTCTTTTTCGGGAATCAGAAGACTTTAATTCAGTGTTTCTCAACCTTGACAATTTTAAGACATGTGGACTTTAATTCCCAGAATTCCACAGCCAGCAATGCTGGCTGTGGAATTCTGGGAATTGAAGTCCACATGTCTTAAAATTGTCAAGGTTGAGAAACACTGCTTTAATTCAACAGCCATTCCATTTTCTTGGGATTAAGCCTAAGCCTATTTCTTCCTTTCCAGGTTTTAACAATTTACAGGCACTAGGTCAGGCCTTCTTAGGATTACATGTTTTGTCCAAGGTGTAAATATGCAACTGGATTATTGTCAGCATATTAATAATGCTTCATCCATGCCAGTGGAGGACCTCCCCTAGGAATTTTGGTTAGACATTAAATAATAAGAAGGGCTGAGTGCCCCACTTGCTCTAGAAGGAAGAGAACCATTACAGTCCAATGCTGTCCACTCCTAACCCTTGCAGGTAATCTAGAAAAGTATCTTGATTAATGAGAATGAAGGCTGTCAAGAGGTTTAGCAGAACCAGAAACTTTGTCCTCTTCCCATCCAAGTGCTATCCCAGGTCATCTACAAGAATGACCAATGCAATTTCAATCCCACAACCAAGTCTGAATCCAGATTGGAAAAAGAATCAGATTGGACATGTTAATGAATCCATCAATAAGAAAGGAAAAATATTTAAGGTCCAGAACTTTAGGAGGAAAAAAGTGAAATGGAGGGCATTAAACAAAAGTGAATGTACTTATCTAATTCCTTTCAAAATGAGAGTAGGTATCATGGGAAGTGTGCTGTAGGATTTAAAGAAGTCATTTCCCTGCAGTATAAAGCAATATTTCCATAAAAAAGGAGGGAGGGAGGAGGACAGCGAGTGAGCAAGAAAGCAGAAGGAAAAGAACATGAGCTCCTTTTCCCTTGTCACCATCCAGAAAGTATCCTCCATCAAGAAATTCTTTATGAAAAATTAGGAAAGGGACAGTAACTAACTCAACAGTCATGTTTTAGTTTGACTTCTCTTATATAAGCATTGATGACCATAAAGCATCCACTAAAGCATTATATTAAAAGAATGTTCTATTCCAAGCAATACAATGACAATACAAGAGCTGTGTTCCGTCTTCAAAATTTATTGTCATTTAAATTGCCAGATTTATTTTTTTTCCAAATCTTGATTCTCAATTGCAAGAATTTTGCTGACAAACACCTGGGAATTTCTAGAGCACAGGATTTGATATGTATGTTTGTGGGTACATCTTAGTGACATAGGAAGTAATCTATGTCTGTCATGCATAATCAGTCTTCTCTACTAATATTCTGGGAAATATTTCTAACAAATGAAGAAAAAACTGTTTACCCTTCATACTTCATAAACTGTGAAAATTACACTGAGATCTCCAATGTTGACTCTTTTTTTTCCCTTCAAGGCACTTTAAAAGTAAGACTAACTTCACTGACACTTTCCCTCCAAATCCCCACGGAGGGCAATACGTTTATCGGGATCATTTAACATATAAAAGAATATGCAATGGGGACAGAGTTTTACAAGACATGGATATGCAGCTGGGTACCACACATCATTTGTGCTGCTTTAGAAAACAGAAATTGCATTTTTTTTTAATTGTCTGAAGAAGATAACTTACCATGTGTGTATATGTGTGGTTGTGCGCACCTTCAAATCAGTTTTTAAATCTTGGTGATTGCCTTGACTAGTCCCTGCAGTTTTCTTGGCAAAAGTTTTTCAGAAGTGTTTTGCCATTGCCTCCTTCCTAGGGCTGGCCCATGGTCACCAAGCTAGCTTTGTGCCCAAGGTGGGACTAGAACTCACCATCTCCCAGTGTCTAACCTGATGCCTTAGCCCAGAGGTGGAGAACAATGGCCCCTTTATGACTTGTGGACTTCAACTTCCAGAATTCCTGAGCCAGCATGACTGGCTCAAGAATTCTGGGAATTGAAGTCCATAAGTCACAAAAGGATCTTCACTCCCTACCCATGCCTTAGTCAGTACACCAAACTGGCTCTCACCTATCCCTTTACAGACTGATTGTTATTACTAATTTTTGAAATGTACAGAATGAGAGAAAGTGGTGACTGCCTGGATTAGTCCCTGCAGTTTTCTTAGCAAGGTTTATCAGTGGTCTGCCATTGCCTCCTTCCTAGGGCTGAGAGAAGGTGACTGGCCCCAAGGTCACCCAGCTGGCTTTGTGCCTAAGGCTGGAGTAGAACTCACAGTTTCTAGGTTTCTAGCTTGATGCCTTAACTGCTGACTAAACTAGCTCTCACTAGTGCTGCCCCTGGAATATATTTTACCTCAGCTTTCCCCTGCCTGGTTGATCGTATTCAGAGCAAACCTGACAGCATGAACGTTCAGCCTTTCAACAGAAATCAGAAAGGAGAGGAATGTATTTAATTTAGCTCCAGTATGTTGCTGGAGGTAGGGGAGTGGGGAAGGACGTTTAATATTTTTGTCTCTTCATTTCCACAAAGCTTGTTTTTTGTGTTTCACTCACTTTGCCTCATTATAATCCCAGCAGGATCAAAAATGTCTCAAGGAAAGATCACCTCCTCACTAATTATTCACTAATGTCACTTGCTATCTAGGGGCTCATTTGACTTCAGTGATTGAGCTGCCCTTTTTCCAGATGGAATCAGTGGGGGGTGGGAGTGCCCAAGCAGCCTGCAAAATACCTGAAACAAAGCAACTTGGCAAGCACAACTGGGCTGAAAAGGGAACTGAGAGTTCCTGCTTTCACTGCAGTTGGAGAAGAATCATTTTTCCCAAGCCAATTTTTTTTATAGTGGGTTAACGTAGACATTGGTGGCCCTCCAGATGTTGTTCGACAACTGGCTCTTGTCCACCTGTACAGATGTGAAGTGCACAACCCATCTTGAAGTTGTTACAGCATTTCCCTATTGTCCCAGTGAAATTTGTCAGCAAAGAGGGCTATTTTTACTTCACAAAAAAGGAGAACAGAAATAAATGCAATAAGGGAAATGCATACTTCTTTCTTTCTTTCTTTCTTTCTTTCTTTCTTTCTTTCTTTCTTTCTTTCTTTCTCTTTCTTTTTCTCTCTCTCTTTCTTTCTCTTTCCTTCCTTCTTTTCCTTTCCTTTCCTTTCTTCCTCCCCTTTTTCTCTCTCACTCCTATCCCACAACATCATGAGCTGTGGTGGTGCAGTGATTAGAATGCAGTATTGCAGGCTAATTCTGCTCATTGCCAAGAGTTTGATCTTGAAAGTTAACTCAGCCTTCCATCCTTCCAAGGTCCGTAAAACGAGGTCCCTAATTGTTGAGGGCAATATGGTGACTCTAAACCGCTTAGAGAAGGCTGTAAAGCACTATGAAACAGTATATAAGTCTAAGTGATATTGCTATTGCTAAGTGCTATCTCTGTGTCAGGATTTGTTCTTCAGATGGTCTTCTCCAGATGGTCTTTGGAAGCCTTCACAAATCAGAAAAGTGTTGTTTCCAAAATAAACACAATTGCCTGACTCTGCTTTAGAGTAACATTTGCAATTGAGGCATCCAGTTGATTTAGAAACAAAAACAAGAAAGATAAATACAGCAGTGCATGGCCCTTAATTCCATTGTCTTTGAAACTTTTTAAAGCAAATCCACCTTAAAGCTCAGCATTAGATGTTTTGCATGCTGTCTTGGCTTCAGGATAACTTTTTCACAGGGGAAGGATGACTTCCTAGACAGTGAGCAACGTGCCCACAATTGCTGTCTCTGTCCCATCTGGTGACTCAATGACATCATCTAAAGGAGCAGCAGGTGCTTTTTCTACACACAAAACACTTGATAGTGGCAGCAGAGAAAATGGGGAAAAAACTGGTCCTGCTCCAACATACCTTCTATCTCCAAAAATGTACTTTTTTCCTTCTGTTTAATTGAGTCAAATTCTCAACACAAAACCTTGACAAATCCCTGTAGTTTCCTAGGCAAAGTTTTTCAGAAGTGGTTTGCCATTGCTATATTTCTAGGGCTGAGACTGGCTTTGTGTCCAAGGTGGGACTAGAACTCACCATCTCCCAGTTTCTAGCCTAATGCCTTAGCCAATACATCAAACAGGCTCTTGCCTATCCCTTTACAAAGGAGTGATTGTTACTGAAGCCTGATTTACTACTTAGTTTTGAAATATATTCAATGAAACTTCTCATATTACAAAATATGAGATGGAAATGTGTTTCTCACAACAGCTTATTATAATTCTATGTGTGCATATGTATATACACCCAGTGTAAAATGTGTGCATGGTGTACGTTTTATTAAGCAAGGTGATTTTCTCTGGAATCAGAATTGAAAAGGATATCAGAAGTTATCAAGTCCAATGCTAGATCTGCTAAAGCATTCTGGACAAAAGGTGATCCAGCCTCTGTTGGAAGGCTTCTGCTGGAGGAGAATAGATCACAAGACAGCTAATTCAATTGGTTCACAGCACTTCTGGTGCAAAAATAGGCCTAATGATCTAAATCAACTTTTCTATTGTTTCAACACAGCCGTTCTGGTCCTGACCTTCTTCCTCAACATGACATCCCTTTAGATATCTGAAGACTACAGTACTGTTGTATCTCCCCTCAGTCTTTTTTTCTGCAGCTAAATAGACCCAGTTCTTTTTTTAACAAACTCATAGGAATTAGTTTCTTCCAGTCTGTAATTTTCTTTTTTAGACTGCAGTGCCCAGAATTGGACACAGTACATTCTTCCTAACAGAATCTGACCATGCTAAGAGGGGGTTGGTTAGTTACTTCTTGTGATCTGGACTACCGGTATATTAATACATCTTTATATAGCACATGCTTCTTTGGCTCCTGCTTTGCACTGCTGGCATATGTTTAATTCATGATGTATTAGAACCAGCGGCAGTAGTTTGTTTTCCGATACACTACCACCAAACCAGGTCTCCTCCATACTGTATAATTTCTTTTTCTTCCCGGATGATATATTTCATCTTGTCTGTTTCAGTTCGTTGTTCAAGCCTGCCTAGATATTTTTTTTGAATCTTCACTTTTATTTTTCAGACTGTTTTCTGCCTTCTGCAAATTTGATAATCTGACTTCATAGTTCCATTCTGTAGAACAGGTCAAGGTTTAATAAATGCAACCTTTAGCATTTACTCTAAATG